TACTCGGTAAGTATTTCAATACCATAAATGTATATAGAAGAGTATTCTAATAAAAGTACAAAAGAGAAGAGAAAAGCTACTAGAGCCATACCCGAACTCTTTCGAAGGCTTCCGGACTCCTGACTCCTATTCTATTTCTATTCCACCAGCTACATAGTACTAAACTAAACTTGAGAGAAATGAGAGAGCTATTGCTTGAGGTGTGTAAGTGAGGTGAGGATGAGAACTCCTTTTATAGCCTCCTAATGACGGTTGTGACGGTTGGAATGGTCGGAAATACCCTCCAACCATCAATGGGGGCTAATCCACACCGTCCAGGCAAAACCCTGGATCGGATGGCGCTTAGGAGGGTTTGGTTCGGCCGAACCTGGGGCCGGCCCAGTCCAGCCCAATTTCGGCTGGCGGCCTCCTCCTTTGTTCTTCTTCGCAGACTTGTGAATTTTGGCCCAATTTGTTATGTCAATTCTGAATTCTTGGCCCATTCATACATAAATATGGTTCTCGACATCGTCTGATTGATTTATCATCTGTGTTGATGTCGATTCTCCTCCACTTTGTGATTATTCTCTACAAAAGGTTAGCATACCTAATACTAGTAGAATATTATTACTCTAACATATATATATGCATTGCAAACATCACTAGTTCTCCTCTATTTTGGTAATATTGATGGTCGAAACTGATCGATAACGACCGTTAACATGTACCAATATATGCCAGTATTGGCATTAATTGACAAAAGTTCGCCGCGCTTGTCACGTAGTGATTTTTGCCACGAACGCACCCAATACACTCCAATATGCCCAAAAATCATATTTTGGTGCTTTTGAACTTTTTCATTCTGGTGAAAAACATCACACCCACGTGTGCCAATATATGTCAATATTGGCATTAATTGACAAAACTGAACCGCGTGAGTTACGGATTAATTTTTCGACACGAACGCACCTAATACACTCCAATATGCCAAAAATCAAGTTTTAGTGCTTTTTAAACTTTTTTATTCCGGTGAAAAACTTCGCACCCACGTGTGCCAACATATGGCAATATTGGCATTAATTGACAAAAGTGAACCGCGTGAGTCACGGATTGATTTTTTGACACGAACCCACCTAATACACTCCAATATGACCAAAAATCATGTTTTGGTGCTTTTTGAACTTTTTCATTCCGGTAAAAAAACTCGCACCCACGTGTGCCAATATATGGCAATATTGGCATTAATTGACAAAAGTGAACCGCGTGAGTCACGGATTGATTTTTCGACACGAACGCACCTAATACACTCCAATATGCCCAAAAATCATGTTTTGTTGCTTTTTTTAATTCTTTCTTTCCGGTGGAAAACATCGCACCCAAGTGTGACAATATATGGCAATATTGGAATTAATTGATAAAAGTTCGCCGTGCGAGTCACGGATTAATTGTTGAAAACGGACGCACCCAAAACTCTCCAATATGTCCAAAAATCTTGTTTTGGTGCTTTTTGAACTTTTTCATTCCGGTGAAAAACATCGCGCGCATGTGTGCCAATATATGCCAATATCGGCATTAATTGACAAAAGTTCACCGTGCGAGTCACGAAGTGATTTTTTGCCTTGCACCCAATACACTCCAATATGTCCAAAAATCATGTGTTTGGTGCTTTTTGAACTTTTTTACTACGGTGAAAAACATCGCACGCACGTGTGCCAATATATGCCAATATTGGCATTAATTGACAAAAGTTCACCGTGCGGACCACGAAGTGATTTTTCGTCACCCACGCATCCAATACACTTCAATATCTCCAAAAATCATATTTTAGTGCTTTTTGAACTATTTCATTCCGGTGAAAAACATCGCGCACCCACGTCTGTAAACATTGGCATTAATTGACAAAAGTTCACCGCACGAGTCACGAAGTGATTTTTTGCCACGCACGCACCCAATACACTCCAATATGCCCAAAAATCATGTTTTTGTGCTTTTTGAACTTTTTCGTTCCGGTGAAAAGTATGGCACCCATGTGTTCCAATATTGGCATTAAATGACAAAAGTTCGCCGCGCGAGTCACAAATTGATTTTTCGACACGAACGCACCCAATACAGTCCAATATGCCTAAAAATTATGTTTTGGTCCTTTTTGAACTTTTTTATTCCGGTGAAAAACATCGCACCCACGTGTGCCAATATATGGCAATATTGGTATTAATTGACAAAACTAAACCACGCGAGTCATGGATTGATTTTTCGACACGAACGCACCTAATACACCCCAATATGCCAAAAACATGTTTTTGTGCTTTTTGAACTTTTTCATTTCGGCGAAAAACATCGCACCCACGTTTGCCAATATATAGCAATATTGCCATTAATTGACAAAAGTGAACCGCGTGAGTCACGGATTGATTTTTCGACACGAACACACCTAATACATTCCAATATGCCCAAAAATCATGCTTCGGTGCTTTTTTAATTCTTTCTTTCCGGTGGAAAACATCACACCCAAGTGTGCCAATATATGGCATATTGGAATTAATTGACAAAAGTTCGCCTTGCGAGTCACGGATTAATTTTTCAAAATGGACGCACCCAATACTCTCCAATATGTCAAAAAATCATGTTTTGGTGCTTTTCGAACTTTTTCATTCCGGTGAAAAACATAGCGCCCACATGTGCCAATATATGCCAATATTGGCATTAATGGACAAAAGTTCACCGCTCGAGTCACGAAGTCATGGATTGATTTTCACCGGAACATGATTTTTCGACAAAACTAAACCACGCGAGTCATGGATTGATTTTTCGACACGAACGCACCTAATACACCCCAATATGCCAAAAACATGTTTTTGTGCTTTTTGAACTTTTTCATTTCGGCGAAAAACATCGCACCCACGTTTGCCAATATATAGCAATATTGCCATTAATTGACAAAAGTGAACCGCGTGAGTCACGGATTGATTTTTCGACACGAACACACCTAATACATTCCAATATGCCCAAAAATCATGCTTCGGTGCTTTTTTAATTCTTTCTTTCCGGTGGAAAACATCACACCCAAGTGTGCCAATATATGGCATATTGGAATTAATTGACAAAAGTTCGCCTTGCGAGTCACGGATTAATTTTTCAAAATGGACGCACCCAATACTCTCCAATATGTCAAAAAATCATGTTTTGGTGCTTTTCGAACTTTTTCATTCCGGTGAAAAACATAGCGCCCACATGTGCCAATATATGCCAATATTGGCATTAATGGACAAAAGTTCACCGCTCGAGTCACGAAGTGATTTTTTTCCACGCACGCACCCAATACACTCCAATATGTCCAAAAATCATGTATTTGGTGCTTTTTAAACTTTTTCATTCCGGTGAAAATCATCGCATGCACGTGTGCCAATATATGACAATATTGGCATAAATTGACAAAAGTTCGCCGTGCGAGTCACGAAGTGATTTTTCACCACCCACGCATCCAATACACTCCAATATGTCCAAAAAATCATATTTTGGTGCTTTGTGAACTATTTCATTCTAGTGAAAAACATCGCACCCACGTCTGCCAATATTGGCATTAATTGACAAAAGTTCGCCGCGCGAGTCACGAAGTGATTTTTTGCCACGCGCGCACCTAATACACTCCAATATGTCCAAAAATCATTCTTTGGTGCTTTTTGAAATTTTACATTCCAGTGAAAAACATCGCACCCATGTGTTCCAATATTGGCATTAAATGACAAAAGTTCGCCACGCGAGTCACGGATTAATTTTTCGACATGAACACACCCAATACACTCCAATATGCCCAAAAATCATGTTTCGGTGCGTTTTGAAGTTTTTTAATCCGGTGAAAAACATCGTTCACACGTGTGCCAATATTGGCATTAAATGACAGAAGTTTCGCCGCGCAAGTCACGGATTGATTTTTCGAAATGGACGCACCTAATACACTCCAATATGTTAAAAAAATCATGTTTTGGTGCTTTTTGAACTTTTTCATTCCGGTGAAAACATTGCACCCACGTGTACCAATATATGTAGATATTGTCATTAATTGACAAAAGTTAGCTTCGCGAGTCACAGTGCTTTTTTTTTGCCACGCATGCACTCAATACACTCCAATATGTCAAAAATCATATTTTAGTGCTTTTTGAACTTTTTCATTCCGGTAAGAAACATCGCATCCACGTGTGCCAATATATGTCTACATTGGCATTAGTTATCAAAAGTTAGCTGCGCGAGTCACGAAATGATTTTTTGCCACGCACGCTCCCAATAGACTCCAATATGTCCAAAAATCATGTTTGGTTGCTTTTTGAACTTTTTCATTCCGGTAAAAAACATTACACCCATGTGTTTCAATATTAGCATTAAATGACAAAAGTTCGCCGCGCGAGTCACAGATTGATTTTTCGAGACGAACGCACCCATTGCACTCCAATAAGCCTAAAACTCATGTTTTGGTGCTTTTTGAACTTTTTCATTCCGGTAAAAAACATCGTACACACGTGTGCCAATATTGGCATTAGTGGTGCGCGCGAGTATTCGCTCATAACCCTTCTAACATGTTTTTAATATTTTTTATGCGAGTTGGTGGGCCCGTGAGAAAGTTTGCGTTGCGCGCAAACCGCTTATAAGTGTTTTTACGCATATGAGAATATTTTGGCACCGTTGGTTACAGGAAGATTTTTTTAATGAGCGTGTAGACCCGTGGAAAAGTCCGTGGTGCGTGTATAAAATTGCTAAGACCTCTCATAATTGTTATTGGAATATGGGAATGGTTTGGTATAACTGATTGAAAAAAAAAACGAGATGTTAGACACAAAAGAATGTTTAGGATGCGCGCATGGAATCGCTCGAAACACCTGATACGTGTTTTTCTTATATAAAATGTTTTGATACCATTGATTGTGAAAAATATATTTGACACGTAAAAGCATGGACTATTCAATGGAAAAACAATGGCACAAATTATTCCCGTGCAATGGGCCAGAATGTACACAGAAAGAAGCCAATAAATCAAAAGGTTAATGGGACTTCCAATTTCAGGGGGCCAGGGTAAGCTTTTCCAGGTAATTACACTTGGCAAAGAATCTGAATGAATTCAAAACAATAGACATTTTCTATAATGCATAATCTAATTACATGTTGAAAGATTAGGGAACCAAAAAAGAAAAAGAGAAAGGGCTGATGCTATCAAAAAACAGTGAGATAATGCGTAGGAAAAAAAAACTTCTACAGGATAGAACCAATTCACAGGGCACCAATTCCTCTTCCTTCTGAACTATAGGACTGAAGCCATCACATTTCTAGGTATGAAAGATTTTAGATGCCATTCGACGTATACTCCCTAGACCTTTGGGATAAAGCATTACAATAGCAAACATTGATCCAACAGCATAAAACATCATGTTTTTGTTGTTTCGGTATCAAGATGGTTCCCATTCTCAATGTGCTTCCCATTCATTTGTGTCCATGGTCTCTGCACGCATCACAGCAGTATTCCTCAATGTCAAGCTAATGCAACAATTGAATTTCCAGCAATATATTTTTGGAGGTAACGGACTCATACCCAATCAGCAGAATCAACAGAGTTACCATTCAACATTCTAGTCTTATCCTCTTTCAACTTGCTGTCTTTCTCCTTTATGCTCACAGGTAGTACAGATGTTGATCCAGCTGATCGGTCAGGAAGTTCTGTACAAAAGATGTGCAGTCTGATTATGGAAGAGAGTAGGAATAAAACTAAAAAAAATGGCAAGAAATTCTTTTTCTACCTGTAAGCTTCTTGTCCACAAAGAAAACAACCAAGTTTACCGTATACCTGAGCAAGGAATATGCATTAAAACAAGGAGCAAGAGGCACAGCAAATAAATAAATGATAATGACATACTACCCACCATGCAACAACAACATCAACACTGTAATGCTTGCGAGAGGCTATGATAAGAAGACTCTGAGCAATAGCTATGCACCATGCAAGCATCTTTATAAACCTGAAATGAGTTTTGAAAAAAATACAGAATCTTAGATTGTTGTATTTCCTAGACAGACTGAATTTCTCGCAAGAATTCCTGTGAGGGATCCTCTCAATACAAAAACATCACCTTATATTTCCATATTTCTGGTATGTTACAACGAAGACTATAGTGAAAATCATGTGGGATGAAAATATCAAGTCACCGCACCCGTAAATTACTCCTCTTGGGACTGCAGTCATAAAACAAAACAAACTTAAGTATCCAAGAAAAATATAGGGGCAGTTCAATTTGATAAGATGGAAAACAGAAAAACTACAAGGTGGGCTCTTACAATTAATGAGAAGCACCTCTGCTACATTTTGAGGATGTGGTAATCTGGCAAGAGCTGAGCCCTGCATAAGATATATGAAGTGCCCATTAAAACCTGGTTTTCATCTAAATCTGCCATTATGAATGGATGTCAGCCCTGACAAGACACCTTACCTCACGGCAATGATAGTTGGGCCCTGGAAGTTGTGTGGAATAGAATGTGACTATCCGTAAGAATTGAGAAGCCTGAGAAATACAATAGGCATCGGAAATACGCTAGTAGCACTGTATTACATGCAACAGATCAACATATATGGAAACACTTACACATAAGAAGGCAAGAACTCTACGCCAAATAAGAACAGTGTAGAAGCGCTTGGTTTGAAGGATGAAAGGATGAAATGTCCACTGCAAGGTAAACAGTCTGCTGTTACAGTGGGCAAGCTTAAACTTCTAGGTAGAAACCAAAAATTAAGGGCCTGCTTGGAAGCCGGTATTTAGCCACTGTTGTAAATTACAGGCCCGTAATATTACTCCTCGCTGGACTCAAATTCACCCAACACCGGTATGGGGGGTAACACGCTAAATTTACCCATGTTTATGGCCTAATCCAACGTAAAAAAAAAAAACTGTGGTCTAAGGAGACCACACTATTTTCTGAGAAATGTCGAGCTCTTGGCTGAGGCCCAGCAAGCGAGCGTGCTTTCTTGCTCGCATACGCGTCATTGCATCTTCCACCGTCACGGCCTCTGCCTACTCTGCTTCTGGTGTGACCGTGTCTCCACTTCGTGCTGCTGCCGCCAACTCAGGTGCCGCGCTCCGCCACATAAACCGAACTACCACCATCAGTGTCTTCACCGCTGCCTCTTCTGCTCGGGTGGCAACCAACACAGCACATCGAGATTGAGGTGTTGTTCGATAGCTCGACTTCTCAGATCTATTCATAATATGGAGATCAACAATGACCTCCATGCCCTGTATCATCAGTGGGTTTGATACGAGTTTTGATGCTTTAGGATTTGGAACTTGTTGCCTCAATTTTTTCTATCTTGTGGTGAATACTTTTTCTCTAATTTCTGTGTCGTCGCAGGATTTGGAACATCTTGTCCTCTACCTCAAAAATTTACATCGGTAATCTTGTTGATTTTCATTTAGCTCCTCAAATCAAGGATTGAGTGATGTTCATTATCATCCCTGTTTTTTAACAGTGCTCATTTTACAGAATGTTCAATTTCTGATGAAAATCCCGGCAATCTTCTCCCAAACAGCATTAGTTGCAGGGGTTTTTATTTCACTTGTAATTTCAGGTACCCAAAGATTACAAATGTATTTCTATTACAGGGGAAAAAACTTCCAGAGATCCCAAGCAGGCCCTAAGATGCTCTAAGAACAGTACAACAATAAATACTAGAACATTGCATATGAAACCATGAAGGAAAAGAAAACCATCATATAAATAACTAGGGGGTTGCCCCCACACAGTTTTGCACGGAGCTAGGTAATTCACGTACAGTTAGATTTAATACAACTCAGTTCCATTATATGTAGAAGTATATTTGGGTTTCATATATAATTCTTAGCTTCTGTTTATATAAGCTCTCGACTTCATATACAACTATTAGATTATATTTCTATAGGCTCAGATTTCAGATACAACTCTTAAGTCTTAACTTCTATTTATATAGATATAATTGTAATTTTCTTATTTCTACGATTAATGTGAGAATTTCTTTGCTCTAAACCAAACGTGGTGCCTCCTTTCAAACCTGTCTTGATAATATAATAGATTTGCATGGTGTTGTCATCAAGTTTAGATCATAGGCATGCAATAGGAAAATTACAAGAACAAAGGAGAAGAAGATAGAGCAAAGGAAGTTAGCTGAATGGAGAATAGAATAAAAAAATAGATAAAACTAACAGAGAAATTACCAGAACAAAGGAGAGGAAGATGAAAGTAAACAGCGTCTCACTGATGTAGCCCCTTTCTTTCCCAAGCTCCTGGAGTGTGCAGAATAACCAAAAGCAATATAAGAAATCATTTCCACTCTAAGATAATTGGCAATTACTTGCTGTGTCAAACCATCTGCGACGGAGTCAGAAAATACGGTAGTAGTATATTGCACATACGGGAAGAATCATGAATCCAAGATCTTGGAGGGTAGGCCCTGGCCGGTGCAGATAATGGACCCCACGAGCAGCCAAACCATGAATGTACTGTTTGCAACCAAATGCAGATTAGTTTTGAATCCAAGAAATTCCAAATACCATGCTCAGTACATCTATATGCAACCCACCCAATCTAGAAAGCTCGATGTTCGTAATGATACGAGAAAAGGAAGAGTTGAATATTCGAATTTACAACGTTTTTGAACTCTGATTGTTGGGGCTCATCACACGTTGGCACAGAGGAGGGAGAAATTGTAATATTGCGAATAAATCATAGCCAGCAAGAGCGAAGAAGACATAAATTAATCGGACGAAATACCTGGAAGACGAGGCCCGCGAGTAGGAGTTGCCATTTCTCAGTGAGAATCTTGAGCTCGACCGACGTCTCCGAGGTGATTCTCCTGACCACCTGCGTACAGTGACAACACGATCCAAAGCCAACTCAATCTCCTCCGAAATCCTCCACACACGAAAACGGAAAAGAAATCAACACAAAACGAAAACGAACAAACCAATCCAGCATTCCACACACACACCTTGGAAGCACCGCGAGCAAGGTACAAGGCCGACATGCCCAATCTGGCGAGCGGCGGCGCTCTCCTCACGAACGGACCGATACGAGGAAGGAGGGGGAGAGCGCTATGGTACTCTCTCCAAGGATTGCTCCCGTTCCTCCTCCTCCACGGCGTGCTCTTCCCCTCTTTCCCTTCCTCTTTACAGCAGAGGAAAGAGGAAGAGAGAAGAAGGGGGAAAAAAATTAATTTAGAAACGGGAACGCAGGGCTGGCCGGACCAGACAGGCACGAGCTAAAAAAACAGCAGCGAGAAAGGGGGAGCCGGCGGATTGTTCGGAGGAAGAGGAGCGGATACCGCATGCGCTAGCTGGAAGAAATTAGGCCTCCTCTCCGCTTATTTTTCTATCTGGAGTTGGAGCCAGCAAAGGATTCCAATGGCCTTTCCAGATAGAGATTTCGATTCCCTCTCTTCGATCTTCCCTTCTCTCTGCCTCTTCTATCGTCTACCTTCTCTCTTGTATCTGCCCTTGTTTTTATTATCAGTATGATAGTAGTGAAAATTTGATTAGTGTATGGAAGGGAAATGTCAGTATGACATGTCTGGCGCTGCCAGAACAGAAGAAAACAAGCACACTTCCAGAAGAAAAGCGTGCGCTGGCAATTGGAATTGACAGGTTGGACGCGGCTTGGCCGGCCAAATTTGACTTTGACCGTTTTGCTGTGGGGGCGGCTGACTACCACCGTAGAGAGAAAAAGGAGTACTCCAGCTTTATGCATTAGCGCTAATCTGCTCCGTCTATCAGAAATGAACAGCCGTGATTTCTCCTCCTTCCACCCACTTCTCTCTCCGTCTATTTTGCTCCAGCAACCAAAGATGGGATTGTTCAGTTTATCGTCGAAATTCTTCGGAGAAGATCTGAATTTTCCTCTAACATTGTTACTTTTCCTTTACGTAGCCTGTGCAGAAACATAATGCCGGTCCAACACACAATGTTAAGTTAATAGACATAATTCGTTATTACGGTCACACACACCATTTTCTAGGATTATCGTCCAGCACTTGGCTGGCAATATTGCAGCAGGGACACAAGGAAAGATGCAGAATTTTTTATTTTTATATTAATTTTTTTAAAAGATTTACAAAACTCAATTCCCGTTACAAAATTTTACAAAACTATACTCCACCCGCCCTCCCGTAGGGTGGGGAATAAAAATCGCCCTAGGGCGGGAAAGTGACGTGATAGGTCAGGAAAGAGGCGTGCCGCGGCATTTTTACAGGTGGCCCCTTCTCGCCCTACGCTTGGGCGAATTATCGCCAAGTGGGGGTTGCCTGCTAACTTGCTTGGCGCGCCCCTCCTGGGTGGGGGCCGCATGCAAAAGAGCATTCCCTACCCTAGGGTAGGAAGATTTTTTGCCGGCCTCTGTAAAACCCTTCTGTCGGTGATATGGGACCGGGAGTATTGCGCCCGGAGGCTTGAGGCAGATGGAATCGCCCACGTGGCCTGGCACCTTCGGGGACGTCGGGCCCGAGGGTGAGGTGTCCGCCCTCCTCCTGATTTCCCCGAGGGGGGGTCGGGTTGCTCCTGCCCCGGCCCCGAGGGCCGAGGTGCCCCGACCCCCTGTGGGGTTTGCACTATGTACATAGGTTGGGTGAACACGGTAGGGCTCACCTAACCGCATTTATTGCGGTCTGGTCAAGCGTGTCACGCTGCATGCAGCGCAATGCAGCGCGCTCTTTTATCCGGTCTGTGACCAGTCACAGACCGGTCGGATCAACGGTTAGGTGGCGACTGGCGGTCTGACGCACGCCTCGCCCCGTCCCGTCAAGACGAGAGCCTCTAGGCACACGTCTCCAGCCGGAGCTAGCGTGTTACCTCTTAGAGATGGCACGTTAGCCCTGGTTAGATGAATACCAGGTTTCATCCCAACCATTACAGGCAAGATGCTACAAAAAGAAGGGTGATCATGCAGATCGCTGAACTGACGCATAGAGGACAAGAATGACCGATCTGTGACCGGTCTGACACTGGTCGCGTCAGCAGCAGACAGCCACGATCCCACGTTGCGCCTGTCTCCGCCGGGAGTGGAGGTAGGTGTGGGCTGTCCCATCGAAGTGTCATTCGGACGGCAACCATACCAATCTCTGTCCATAAAGAGAAGAAAAGTCCAGTTTGGAAAGGGAAGGGTACATGTGGTATCCCCTTAAGATATAAAAGGAGGACCATGCCCACAAAGAGAGGGGACGGGATTTTCCCGGGAGAGGAGAGGGCTGGTTGATATTTTGTAACTTGCTCATACACAGATCCACCAAAAACACAGGAGTAGGGTATTACGCTTCCCAGCGGCCCGAACCTGTATACATCGCCCGCGTCACACGTTTCTTCCTAGCTGACGATCTTTCCACATACCGAGAGAGCTTGAGATTTCACCCTAAGCCCCCGGCCGAACCGGCAAAGGGGGGCCTGCGCGGTCTCCCGGTGAGGAGCCACGAGCTCCGTCATCTGGCGCGCCAGGTAGGGGACTCAGCGTGTGTTTTCTGAGCTCTCATACTCTTCCGTGTGCGCCAAGTTTCCCTTGTTCAGCCTAATGGCCGAGCAAGCAAAGGCGCACGACCTCTCTCCGAGTGTGAGCGGCGACGACGGGGAGCCAAACCCGCGCCATCGAGCTCGTACTCCCCCACCTCCTCCGCACCAAAGTCCTAAGCGGGGGGAGGCGCTCGAGAGGGTTGAAAAACCCACAGCATCACCAGTCGCAGGTGATGCAGGAGAGCGGCGAGACGGGGAGCGTCGCCTCCTCGTCTACGGTGACGGCAGCACGCCCCAGGGAGCGCTTCAGGCTGCTGGCGCGCTCCTACGTCACCCGCCCGTCGTCCCTGACCCGGAGTCTCTAGCCCAGCGATGGCTGGACGACGTGGCCAACTTGGTCATGACGGCACAGCAGCGCCTGGGTGCTGGTGGACGGTCCGCCACCACCAGGACCTCCGGCGCCGCCACCTCCGGCTCTGTGTCATCAAGGCGGAGGGCGCGGCGAGCGGCGGCTGCTGCACGCCATTCGGCTACCACTCCCTCGTCGGCGCCTCCGACTCGGGAGGATCAGCATGAAGAGCCGGATGCCCGCCTCCACATTGAGCGCCGACGTAGTGATCGGCGTGCTCCCCGCGCAACGGAGGGTGCCTCTTCGTCCAGGGTGTCACCTCGACATGGACGTGAGGACCAGCCCTCCGTGCCCCCGGTTGGTGGTGTTGGCTGTAGAGCCTTTGTGGCGAGTCTTCGGAATGTCCGTTGGCCCCCAAGGTTCCGGCCCACCATCACCGAGAAGTATGATGGGAGCGTCAACCCCACCGAGTTTCTCCAGGTCTATACGACCGGGATCGAGGCCGCTGGGGGAGACGACAGGGTCATGGCGAATTTCTTTCCCATGGCCCTGAAGGGACAGGCGCGGGGTTGGCTAATGAACCTGCCACCCGCGTCGGTCCACTCCTGGGAGGATCTGTGCCAGCAGTTCACCATGAACTTTCAAGGCACCTATCCACGCCCAGGTGAAGAAGCGGACTTGCACGCAGTACAGCGAGGGGATGATGAATCCCTTCGCTCGTACATTCAGCGTTTCTGCCAAGTCCGCAATACTATACCTTGCATCCCTGCACACGCGGTGATCTACGCGTTCAGGGGGGGTGTGCGGCACAACCGCATGCTCGAAAAGATTGCCTCCAAAGAGCCCCAGACTACCGCAGAGCTTTTTCAGCTCGCGGACCGAGTGGCTCGTAAGGAGGAGGCCTGGACCTGGAACCCCTCCGGTTCCGGTGTGGCAGCTTCGGCCGCCCCCGGATCCGCCGCTCAGACAGGGCGGCGTGACAGGAGGAGCAAGAAAAGGTCGGTCCATTCCGGCGACGAGGGTCACGTCCTCGCCGTCGAGGGCGCTCCGCGGGCCACCCGAAAGGGGAGGCCTGCGAGCGACAAAAAGAAAGAGGCTGGTACTCCCAGCAGGGAGCGCCCAGCCAGCAAGTGGTGCTCCGTCCACAACACCTCCCTCCACGATCTCGCGGACTGTCGCGCAGTCAAAAACTTGGCTGAGCGAACGAGGAAGTGGGAGGAGGACAGGAGGCAGGAACGCCGTGAGGGCAAGTCCGCGGCAGTTCCCTCCGGTAAACGGCGAAGTGAGGCCAAACAGAAGGCCCCCGCCGTTGACATCGATGACGGTGATGATGACCTAGGTTTCCAAGAACCTGGGGCCACCATTGCCACTGTCGACGGGGGAGCGTGTGCTCACGTTTCTCGCCGGAGTTTCAAGGCCATGAGGCGAGAGCTTCTCGCCGCGGCCCCTACTCATGAGGCGACGCGTCGGGCGCGGTGGTCGGAGGTGGCCCTCACCTTTGACCAGACCGACCACCCACCGTGCGTTGCCCGGGGAGGGCAGATTGCGATGGTGGTTTCCCCCACCATCTGCAATGTGAAGTTGGGGCGTGTCCTCATAGATGGAGGAGCGGCTCTCAACATCCTTTCCCCCGCGGCCTTTGATGCTATCAAGGCCCCGGGGATGGTGCTCCAGCCGTCTCAACCGATCATCGGTGTGACGCCGGGGCACACATGGCCGTTAGGTCACATCGACCTACCGGTCACCTTTGGTGGATCAGCCAACTTCCGCACGGAGCGGGTGAACTTCGATGTGGCGGACCTCAGTCTGCCCTACAACGCGGTCCTGGGGAGACCCGCGTTGGTGAAGTTCATGGCGGCGGTCCACTACGCCTACCTCCAGATGAAGATGCCGGGCCCCGGTGGCCCCATCTCTGTCCGTGGCGACCTTAAAGTCGCGCTCGCTTGCATGGAGCAGCGCGCGGACCACCTCGCTGCTGCGACCAAGCCCGAGGGTGGTGACGAGAGGCTTGGCACCTCCGCCCCCACCGCCCCGAGGCAGCGGATTGCCACATGCGACGAGGTCCCGGTCAAGGAGGTTGCCTTGGGCGACGGCCCATCCAAGACCACACGGATCGGTGGTCTTCTGGATGGCAAATAGGAAGACGCGCTCGTCTCCTTCCTGCGGGCAAACGCTGACGTCTTCGCATGGAGACCAGCGGACATGCCCGGGGTCCCCAGGGAGGTGATTGAGCACCGTCTCGCCGTGCGGCCGGGCGCAAGGCCGGTCCGGCAGAAAGTGCGGCGGCAGGCCCCGGAACGTCAAGCCTTCATCCGCGAGGAGGTGGCGAGACTTCTGGAGGCCGGATTCATCCGTGAAGTCATCCATCCGGAGTGGCTGGCGAACCCGGTGGTCGTTCCCAAGGCGAACGGCAAGCTTCGGATGTGCATCGACTACACCGACCTTAACAAGGCATGTCCTAAGGATCCTTACCCCTTGCCTCGCATAGATCAGATCGTCGACTCCACTGCGGGGAGCGACCTTTTGTGTTTTCTAGATGCATACTCTGGTTACCATCAGATTCGCATGGCTAGGGAGGATGAGGAAAAAACTGCGTTCATTACCCCCGTAGGAACCTATTGTTATACATCAATGCCCTTCGGGTTAAAGAATGCAGGTCCTACTTTTCAACGTACTACTCGAATTTCTTTGGGTAGCCAAATAGGACGTA